GCTGTGTAATTTAGTGAGCTATATTTGTGACTGTTCCAAACACGTTCCTATGATGTATAAATCAACGAGAATTGTGTGCTTGATTGCATTGTGATTACTGGGTGTTGTATAATATACTTTCTACGCTTATCAAGAATTCTTCTTGCAGTTTTGGTATTCAAGGTAGCCTACCTGGACTCTGGTAGTTGTCTCGTTCGCGTTTATCGACTAAGGTGAACTCGTAATAGCTTCAAGCGTACATATTAACGGATGTGACAATTGGCGACGGTAGTTTTGGAAACATGGATCGTGCCAAGCACACTCAGACGGTCTCTAGGTGCTGACAACCAAGGCAACAACCAGCACTAGCCCTCGTCAGTCACCACTCTTAGAAACTTTGTCGGATTATGCTGTTTGGAAATTTAGGGTAGAAGCATATCTGCGTCAAGTGCCTGTTTCAGGACATTTTGATTACCTCACATTGTTCTTGAGTGATGAGGCGGTGAAGAAAGTAACGGCATACGGTTTCTCTACACGCAACTCTCTACCTCAAAACTTGAATATGTTAGGCGGATGTTTCTCCTTACCCGAGTATAAACCGTAGGTGACCATGCAATTTTTGTCAGGTCACCAGAAATCTGGCGAAAATCCGATAGAGTACCTGTATGCTTTGCGACAAATTGCAATGCAAGCTTTTCCCGATTTAAATGCCTCGGAACGGGACTAACTGGTACGCTCCTGTTGTGTTGAAGGGGTGGCACATGAACCACTAAGTGAATATCTGCTTTGAATATCACCGGTTAATACCGCTGAATTGACGAGAGCGGCACTCCGATTTATTACGGCAGACAGAATGTCAAACCCATCAGAAGACCATCGACATTCTATGATGTCGGTGGAAACCAGTCAAATGGATTGTTCCTCAAGTGCAACATCTGTTGTACGCGCTTCCAACCGAGGTATAAGCCGTGGGCGGTTGAACTGGATGTGAAACAGACGACCAGCATATGAAAACTACCGTGGTCGTCAGACGGAATGTATCTATGGTAGGAGGTTTGGAAGAAACGCGTGGAGATGTGGCCACAACCGATTGCGTAATTTAGGTGAGCCATGCTTTTACTACTTATCTTCCTGTCATGTTAATCACATCGGCTCTATCACCCTAAAAGGTACAGTGCAAATTTAGTGACTGAAATTCTGTTAGACACTGGACCGTCCGTATCCCTCGCCAAGAATGAGTTCCTAAAGAGACTGAACCATAAGGCCCAGCAAAAACGATGCTCCTCTGCGTTAATAACAGCTGGTGGAGAACCCCTTAAAGTGTGTTATACGATAGTATTAGACTTAGGGAAAGAGAAGTTTTCGGGTCGTCATGAGTTCCTTGTTCCCACCTAAGCCTGTAGCCAACGTGGGAATTTCAGAGCTGATACGTCAGGTACAAAGAAACCTCATGATAAAGGAAAATGATCGTCGTGCAACGATTGCTGCGCTCCAACAGTTTAGTTCTGTGATTGGGGAAAGTATGTCTGGAAATCGTACGAATACAGTTCAACACTCTATCTTCTCAGGGGACCATACGCCCCTTCGGGAGCCGCCTCGCAGACTACCCGTACAATACCTACAACAACTGGAGTCGATGATAAAGGATATATTAGATAGAAAGATTATAATCCCTTCATCGTCCCCCTGGGCGTCACCTGTTGTTTTTGTGAAGAAGAATGATTCCTCCCTCCGACCCTGTATAGACTTCCGACGCCATAATGCCATAAATAAGTTGAATTCTTTTCCACTTCAGCGCATTTGTGGTACACTGGACGCCTTAAAAGGTGCTTGTTGGCTATCCACCTTAGAACTAGCATCTGGGTACTGACAAGTGGAAGTTCGAACATAAGATAGGAGGAAAACTGCATTGATAGTACCAAATTGTTTGTATGAATTTCAGGTAGTGCCTTTCGGTTTAACGAGTGCTTCGGCTACTTTTCCAAGACTGATGCAAACAGTATTACAAGATATAGCACCCCACAAATGTTTGATTTAACTTGATGACATTAATGTGTACGGTAGCGCACCCAAACAACAGATTGCTAACCTGAAAGCTGTTCTGCAGCGTCTTAGACAACATAACCTAAAAGTAAAACCATCCAAATGCCGTCCGTTGCAGAAGGAAGTAGTATTCTTAGGACATCATATCAACGCAGATGGAGTGCGTACAGATAATGAAAATGCCATTGTTACTTGGCATCAACCAAAAACACCTCAAGACGTTCGCAGTTTCCCGGGTCTCGCGTCCTATTACAGACTTTTTGTTCGTGACTTTGCATCATTGGTAGCAACTTTGCACAGATGGATTCATAAAAGACGAAAAGTCCTATGGACAAGCGATTGTCAACAGGCATTTGATACGTTGAAGGCACGGCTAACCTCACCACCTATATTAGCCTTTTCCGACGGCTCCGCGGACGGAAGTGAGTTCATGCTGGATACGGATACTAGTTCCTCAGCTATCGGAGCAGTTCTACCATAAGTAGCTCGAGATGGCCAGGAGAGAGTCATTGCGTATGCCAGCTGACTAATAGACAAGAGCAAAACACTGTATTCCACAACACGTCGAGAAATGCTAGCTTTAGTAAATTTCTTACAACACTTCCGTTGTTATCTACTTGGTAGAACTTTTCGTGTGCGCACGGATCACCGTGCATTACAGTGGCTTCGTTCTTTTCGCGAACAGGAAGGACTAGTAGCACACTGGCAGGAACGGTTGCAAGATTTTGACTTCATATGCGAGTATCGTCTGGGGAATAGACAAACCAACGCAGATGCTCTCTCTCGGCTGCCTTTGTCCACAGATACCGTTGCTGCAATTCTGAGTACGGCAATAGAGACCGACTGGTCCTCGCTGCAACTAGCAGATTTGGATTTACAGATTGTTTATCGAAGACAATTACATGGGAACAAGAAGCCATCTATGAGACAGTTAAGAGACCAATCCCTCGCTCTGCGTCATATTTGTAACAAACGGATCAACTTAAAATTATATGGTAACACGCTATTCCTAATTAATGAGTCCAGAAAACCCCTGCTTATAGTACCGCAAGTAAGGACCCAGAGTACTGTGGAGCAAGTTCATCGCAAACTCGGTCACGCAGGAAAACGAAGAACTGAATATGCTGTTTGCCAGCGCTTTTGGTGGCCGCCTATTCACGAAGATGTAACTGACTTCTGCAAAAACTGTAACACGTGCTGCCGCATGAAATCGCCCGAGAAAACACCATACAACACCGTTATTGACGATGGGAACAATTGGACCACACCAGCAAGTTGGTATCAATATTATGGGACCATTGACGACGACAAAAAAAGGAAATCGCCACATATTAGTCATGGTAGATTATTTAACTTAATGGTGCGTAGCAGTACCCATTCCGCAGCAAGACTCCCAAACCATCGTACGTGCTTTCATTGATCGTTGGGTCTCCCGTTATTGTGCCCCACTCTCACTCACTCTCTCCGATCAAGGACCGGTTTTTGAAAGTCGTCTTATTGCGGAAATGTGCAAGTATTCAGGAATTAAGAAGATGCATACGACCGCATATTACCCAGAACGTAAAGGTCTAGTGGAAAGGACAAATAGAACCATTAAAGCTATTTTACAATCGTTCATCAGCAGATCGTCACTCGAGTTCTGAGATGAGGTGCTTCCTGAATGCATGCTAGCTTATCGAGTATCAGTACGCTGGTCTACGCGATTTTCACCTGCTATTTTACTATTCGGGCATGAACTACGCCTCCCAGTTGAGATACAGTCGCCTTTGCTACCGTTTATGCATCTACAATAAATAGAAACATTTTACGTTGGGTTGGGCTGGCGAAATCTGCATGAATTCTTTCCCAAGGTCCAGCAGGTTTTTGCCATTGTTAAGGCTCACATTTCGAATAGTTTTTTGAGGCTTGTGAACATGAAGGGCAGTTTCGGCATTTGGTTTGTACATCCTTATCCATCGAAGGCCGGTATGCGTGGCTGCGCGCCATCCGCAGTCTCCATGACCGCCTGGCTGATGCCAACTCGCTCAGCGCTAGTGACCGTTAAAAATACATGTACGGTCGTCAGGTGCAAAGAACAGTGTATAAAGTTGGAGATCGTGTCTGGCTACGCCTCCTCATCATATCAATAAGGCGTTGCAGTAAATTCCACCGGCCTTGGCACGGCCCCTTCGCAATCGTCCATATCCGATCCCTCACGACTGTTGCCTTACGTAACCCGCAAAGATCTCAGGACGACGTAGTAACGGTGCACTACAATCAAATAAAGCCAGATCAGACAACAGTACCTGCTGATGCTCGGTTCACAGACCCACCACATGCTACTAGTTTTTATGAGGTACCGGCTGAACGAGGGGCAGCATATCCTTGTCCGAGACCATGCACTGAGGACAGTGCCTCATTAGGAAAGGGGGTGGTGCAACAGAATCAAAATCACCATGTATGCTGTTGCTCACCCGTTCTATTTTCTTTATATTTCAGGGCGATCAAACATAAACGCTTAGGATGCCAAAGAAAAGTCCTGAGTGCTCTGAACTTACAGGATGACTCATAAGACTTCGGAACACTAGCCACCCTTTTCTGTACAAAACACGCGCATTTCAATTTTCAAATAAAAGAGTGCCGTGGCTACCACTTCGTGTTCTCTCTTGGTGTGAGGTGTTAAACTAACCTTGTGTGTTGTGATTTTAGATCCTATCTGCGCTTCAGCTGGTTACATGTGTTTAAGTTGTGTGATTCATTGCATTGTGATTGCTGGGTGTTGTATAATATACTTTCTACGCTTATCAAGAATTCTGTTTTCCAGTTTTTGTATTCAAGGTGGTCTACCTGGACGCTGGTAATTGTCTCGTTGGCGTATATCGACTAAGGTGAACTCGTAATAGCTTCAAGCGTACCTAGTCACGAACGTAACAAAAACGTTGTTGAAATTACTTTCACTATCACACTACTACAGAAACTACAATGACAGACTTACTTTATCAACCACAAGGGAACACTGAAAGGTTAGAGAATGTGAAATATGCATCATTTACCGAGTTTTGAACTGTGGAAAGAACTATCTAAGTATTAGCAACGAGTTAAATAATTCAAAGTAGAAATGAGGAGCGGAAGTGTCGGTTTCCTTATGTACTACTGAAATAACAGACTAATTATCTGGAAACTAACTTCATCAATCACGCACAATTACAAAGCATCATGTACAAGTATGTGTATCGGGTATCATCAGAATAACAAGATTTCCATCGACATTATTATCAAATCAAATGACCTGACTTTCAAAACAGCAGTTGATTTAAATAAACCTCCCACAATAGGTACTGTTAGGAAATACCAAATTATTGTTGAACTTACAATGGTTTGTTGAAGAACAAACTATTTGGAATAAAATGATTGAAGATCAATTTTCAGTGATTAACATACTCTATTTTAAAAAATATTCTATACTAAACGATGTAACTTTTGAATGTGTAAACTGCAGAAGGAGGTGAATCTGTCTTAAACTTTTACAATTTGTACATCGGAAAAACACTTAATGCTTTGTTGGTATTTTGAATGATGGTCAGATGGTCGATCGTATTGTGAATGTTTTAAATCATTCCAGTTCAAGTATTTCAGAGTTTTGGTTTGACAAAATGTATAATCCTGCCTATTTATACCTGAAGAGAATAGGGTCGTCATAGTGTGATGTCTAACTGACAACTGGAGTTTATTGGAATGTTGTAATGGCAACAGACTGATCAATAGAAAATGACCTGAACAAATCGGTCATGACAGCATTCACTATTTCATTGTCATAAACATTTTAGTATGATTGTCAATTATTTTGATGAGTAAATAGTGTAAGTCTGTCAATATCTCCGTGATTTTGCAAAATAATAGAAAATGACTGGTTATAATGACAGTGTATAATTTTATTTAATCCTAGAATGTCAGAATCTAGATTGTCAGTGTATTTCTATAGAGCGGTTTCGTGATTTAGCTGGTTTTGACCATATCTGTGAAAGCGTCTCGTTCCGTGTATATTTCCTGTGTAATCCAAGATTTAATTTGTGTAGTTTCTCTATGCCTGTTCATTTGGAATGCAACAGTAAATGAAGTTTTATAGTAAGCTTCAGTAGTTTGGCAGACTGATTGGTTATCAAAGTAACTATATTGCTATTGCATTTAATTTAATTCAATTTCGTTTAACTGCATCATTCGTCTTCCCGTTCGTAATAGTTTCCAGCATATCGATTGACGAGCATATCTTGTTATTATCATCTAAAGATTATTATGGTCTCCAGAACATTCCTTCTAACTTAAGAGTCATTATTCGCCAAGTAATTGTTAAGAGAATTTTATTTCACTGTCCATGTTAAATTGTAAATGATGAACAAGAAACAAAAAGCATATATGAATACGTATATGATTACTGTAAGTAACAGAACAGTTACTTCATTATGGAATCCAATTCAAACAGGAATTTCGCACATTGTTAATAATTAATTACTTAAATTTCATAACCAGTAGAAGGAAGACATGTTACATAACTGATCTATTTATCGGCACTGACTCACATATCTGATATCGTAAACAGTCTACAAGAAATGCCTCAAATAGAATAATATTTGCATAACGTCTTCAAAAGATTTGTAGTAAAAGGTCAACTAACAAACCAATTAAACAAATTGAATTAGAAGATGAATAAAACAATCAGATAAGTGACAATAGAACATTCAACCACTTGAAAGAATTCAGTAAAATATTCACTAAAACTTCGGAGAAGGACAGACCACTCTCTGAAGAATAGAACTATGCTCACACTGAGTTCAGGTAAATGCATAAAATGAAAATTTTAGTGTTTGTTCCATAATCAACATAAGATAACCAATGTCTATCAAGTAAGTGAATACTGAATCAACTGATAATCATTAGGAAAAATGTATTGTCTATGCTATCAATTCAAGAGCATTAGTTATACGTCAGTCACAATTAAAAGAAGCCAGTGATCTGGAGAAATGTATTATTCAAAAGACAGCTAATCTCCAGCAAAAAAAGCAACAAAGATCAATCCTTAACAAATAAACTAATTAGTCGTTACTCAAGAAACTACGGTGAAATAAAATAAGAAAACGAAAGTTTGGAAATGAACGAAAATGTCATTTTCGTCACCACATTATAAAATGAATGCTCTCTTACAATCAAGTCCACTTTCAATCTTTCAATATGCATATGGCACACATATTCAGTAATGCTTACAACAATTCAAAATCCATAATACATGCATGGTTCACTCACTTCTGTCCGTGATGTGTCTGGTTGTCTCTGGATAAGAGCAACGAAACAAAGTATTCAGTAACATCAAACGAGATCATTACGAAACGAAGTAGCAAGCGATAAGATCGGTCGGTCTAGAAGACACGCATAATCTGTCCAAGTCAATTTCAAACATTTCATATCAATGATGTTCAAAACAACTGAACAATACACGATAGATGTTTCACTGCTTTCTTCACATGGTATTCGTCATCGCCACTGTATAGGAGAAACAACATACAGTAGTTTGAGACGACCAGGTCAGATCATTGTGGATAAGCAACTTGTGCAAATAGTCCGTGTCACTTTCACTTGGAAACTACTCACACACTGTTGAATGACAACAGCCTGCATCACTGAATTTGCATTCACTCTCTTTGGAACAGGTGTGTGTGCGCACGCACACACATTTGAGATAAATGCACGCAATGAATCACCTTCTTCTACATTCATCTTATGTGCACTTATACAATGCACGAGCACATGCAATGGATCCACTGACTGCCAAATCACATAAAATGCATCTGCCTCGATAAGTTGAATCATTCAATTCAGTAATAATAACAATAATAATTATAATAATAACAATAATAACAAGAACAATGATAATTATAACAATACTATTATTATTATTATTAGAATCTCAGAGCCACTTGTCAATAGCCAATCAACAATACACTCACATTTTAGCTGCATGTGTTGCAGGGTTTCTGTAGCAACAAAATAACATGATTTGTGTGAACCTGTTGAACTTTATCTACTCGAACACTACTTGTCGAGTCACAGCACATAGCCAGCTATCATCTGATTTGATGATTTCAAACACTTAGTCGGTGTTGCACACCTTCCAAATTCCATTTGAATTTCTCACAGACATTCACTTGCAGACAACACTATCATCATACCATTATTCAACGGATGCTGTCTTACAATAAATTCCACTTTCAATCGTTCAATATGCATATGGAACACATTCAATAATGCCTGCAACAATTCAAAATCGATTATACATGATTCACTCACTTCTGTACGTGTTGTGTGTGATTGTCTCTGAATAAGGGCAACGAAACAATGTACTCAGTAAAATATAACGTTTTCAGAGCACTGAGAAGTTATAATTTATTAATTTCATCCCAAATATTTCTGTGTAACTGAGTAAGTTTTAGTTCATTAACATTTTTTATACGACTGCTTTTTGATGTATTAAATAATGAGGCAGTCTTATTGATGTTTATATTTTCAATTTATTTATATCAATGTCAATATTTTTCAAAAACTCTTTATTTCGACTATTTGAGAATATTGTCAATTCGATGAATCTATTGATAACATAGTTTTTTGTTGAAATGAAACATAATCATATTTATATGAATTACCAGCCAATCATACTGAATCCTGCCTCTTTTATATATTACACACATTGATTCAACATGAGTTATACCTTATTAAATAAACTCACTTGTCTTCGATATCTGATCTAAACCATATACATGAATTCATATTATTGAGTAAGTTAAACAGCATTAGAACATTGACAGATGTTGACTAATTATTTCTAACACAGTCGCTCAACAGTATCAAGGTGAACACAAGATCTGTGCATTCATAGTTCACTCATGTTTGACTTAAATGATCCAGTTCCTAAATCATACAATAATACAACACCGAAGTATGCTGAAACTAATCATTTTGCCTTCTAACTAGATTCTAGCAGATTAACTATAGAATTAGCCACAAGAAGATATGTCATATGCTCACTTGTCATTTATCATCCTGTAGTATCTTGTTAAGCCACAAAAATAAGGTAAAACCGATTAGATTGATAACGAAAATTCAAAAGTATATCTATGTATTTACTTGTTTATTTATCTCCAGAATACGCAGAGCATCAAAATACGACTTCTATATGTTGCACACCGTATTGTATAATCGCTGTTCACTTTCCAGTCTACTCATATCTGGTTTACTTCTCATTTTTAATGTACAAATTTTGATGAATATTAATAGATTATTGTGACTGAGATTCTCAACGATTTGATGAATGGAAGTGATGTCTGACTAGTGATTTTGTGAACTATATATATACTTCTCTTGCATAAACTGTTTGCTGTTTGACAAAAGTAATTCAATGACAAACTACTTTTCTATCATATAAAATAGATAACTGGACAACCTAAATACTCCAGAAATGAAATCACTCATTTGAATTCAGAATCTAGGATTAAAATACAATTGGTTGAGTATGTATTATCATTTCGAAGAGAACATTGTTGACGTAGCTACAACAAGTGTTTTCACATTTTCTATTTTGATAATAATATTGATTTGTCTATCTTCTCTTCTTGAAATTTCTTTTGGCCACCATTTCAGTACACATGATAACTAGTTGTTCGTAGGTTAAATGATAGTCACAACTACTCTACTACTACTACTACTACTACTACTACTACTACGACTAGTACTACTACTACTGAAATAGTATCTCACTGTTAGCAATTTCACCTCTCTCTGTCCTTATTGTTTATTATTTATTCAGAGCGAATAATATTAAAAGCGATTTCATTGGCTTATTGGCTCCTTCGAATATTACACTCACCCACGATATTTTAACATCGAATAGATCATTTGGAACAATATTGAATTATTCTCCAGAAACTGCAACACCATATACACCAGTTAGCTTAGGCTTTCATTTTGAAAGTTACATAGGTAAACTCACTCCTCTTCGGTGAATTGTTTGTCACTAAATTAATTGAAAAACATTAAGCGATGTAATAGATTACAACTTTCAGAAAACTAAATAGCTTGATACATACGATGAATACTTTGTGGACACTGTTTACGACTGTGTAATTCAAAAGAGACAATGATTGGGAAGTTATCATTTTTTAAAACCACGTTTACATCAAAGTGCTATTGACAGACAGGCTCAATTCACTTAAGGCTTTGTTGTTCAGAATAATTAGGAATACTTCATGTAGTTAATGATATTCAGCTATTTTATTGAAGTAACACTCTGGATTTCATGGTTTCGATTTATTCAACAGTTTCGCGATTATCATCATTTTATGTGGAATGTAGAAATGGATATGAGTGCTTGAGTGATCAGCTACAAAGCTTTCTGTTTCTTACATTCTGGTTAAAAAGAAATAGAGTTTCCAAATCGCCTAAATCTTTCAGCCTGTTGGTCTACAACAACATTATGAAATTCATAGTATGCCGTTCGCCGCCGACTTTCTAGAAACGCCTCCTGTGTTCACTTTCTCAATTTATTGTCTGATTGAAAAGAGAAAGAAGTACGTAAGTTTATAGGTCAGTCAGATATAGACCAGAGCATTGATGATAGATGCTAACGCGAGCGCTAGATGTGGTTTGACTTTCTTAAGAAGCAAGCATATGGTTATAAATGGAGTTTGGTTTCACGAAGAACATGTATTGGTCTGCATAAATAAGGTTTGCATGCTTTCAATTTGATAAGCCGATAAACGCTTCTTTTCCAACTTTGAGGTTCTTACTCAAGTACCTGGTATGATTGAAAATGCTGAGTCATCACGGAGAGAAATTAGGATTTCTTTTCTGATGCACATAAGTATCAAGCTGTTTGATGATGAGATAATATAAGATATTCTAAATTATCAACGATTTCGAAAAGTTGAGAATGATTTTCCCACTAGATGCTTCCATACTTACGTTTTTAGAAGAACAAATTAACGTGAAAACAATGCACTCGTCAGCAATGGTTAGTCTGCGATAGATGTTACTACTTCTAAGCTGGTTATTAGGCGAGATATATGACAACTGGGATTGTAGCTGAGTAAATGAAATCAAATTGAACAAGTTAAAAAATAATTATTTGAATTTGAACATTCGATTTTCATTGGCATCTATCTACTAAATTAGTCTGCAGTATTCAAGAAAAGTACTGTATTTTGTAAAACTACATTTCCACAAAATAAGCATATTCTTCTAAACTAGAACTTACATTCCATTCGACTTTAGATATTTACTAAATAATTGAACAAAGTCAAATGTAATTTCTTTCTTACAAGTTTGAGAATTTCACTGACAAGCACTACTGAATAAATTAATCTCGAATGCTTTCACTTACTTTATGATATTAAGTTCACTAGATGGATAAATTTCAATAGAAATTAACTAATTTTTCGACGAAACAATGCTGTATC